TAGACGCCAGAGTCGTTCGAACCACCACGCATTTCGCCGCGCAACTTGCCGCGCGCATCCTCGGACGCACGTAAGTACCCATACCCCATCGACAGCAGTAGATCAACGCGCCTTCTCCATGCATGAAGAGAGAAGTGAAGATCAAAGGAACCTGGTTTTCGAAAATATAAATATAAATAAAGCATGATTCTGAAGAGTTTTTCGTGCTGATTCACAATATGGTGTCCATTTTTCAAATCGTCGAAAAAGGAATTGAAAAGTCAGTAATTCATGAATCGAGGCGTTCTCTGTGCTGGTTCCCAACATGGAAGTTTGAGGGCTGCCTTGACAGAGGTACTAGCAATCCCAGAGAAGCGACACGTCCCCATAGACTCGTCCATGTTCTACGAAACCAGTGAGGTCTGGTATGAACCACTACTGATCGCTTACTAGTTTAGGAGTATCGTATGCTAACGAAAGGAAGTGGCTTGTGTGAAGAGCAAACTGAACAAACTGGTTTCTTTTCTTCAATCATTCTTATATACTACTTTTAGTTGTGGACAGAGGCAGGATAGTGCCAAGTAGCACGCTAGCGCAGTATTGGTCAGGGAACCCGAAACTGCTACCCATTTGGTCAGCCGGGCCTTGCATTTCTCCTTTGCCGGCTAACCGGCATCTGACTTGTCTTGGAGGATGCGAGTGCTGGCTTATCTGGCCATCGAAAGTCATTGTATGCGTTAAATTCGCATTCTAACATAACTATGACCCTCGTTCAGTGCCTTTTAAATGGGCCCATACCAAGATGAGCTGATATATGCAAAAAATTTCCTTCGTTTTACTTTTACTCGTACTAGACTTGGTTTCCCTTTCCTTCAAAACTTATTTTTCTGCTGATTTCGGTTTATGCGGGTTCTTTTTACCATAAATGTTTTTATTGATTTTCAAGATCAAGTATGCCTCTTTCAGCAAGGGAATGTGCCGAAACTTGCACGATTTCTTCTGCGGTGATCGTCAGAATGAGGGTGGTTGAGTAGTTTTTGGCCACCATGCAGTCATTTAGGAACATTTAAAAATCTATCTTCAAAAAAATGAGATCTTCAGTATCGTGTATAATCGTGCAGGGTATTATAGGAAATAGTTATCGTGTACACATAGTGTACCATTTGAAACTTTCAAATACATCAGTCTATCATCATTTATCAGTTGATCGTTGTTGTCTCAGTCATCTATCACGCATTTCCCATTGATCAGTTCAATTTCTTTTTTTTTTGTAGTGTATCAAATTTATTGTATGTGGGAAACAGGTCTACGGGCCTGGGTAAACATACCAGGAAATCTCTCTGTCATACATATTTGTAGGCTCAGTGTAAAATTGTGCTGTCGAGTTTTTGATTTGACAAAGTATACAGTTAGTGATCATTGTTTATTTCTTTCACTGGACTATTTACATCTCTCACAAATTGTTTTCTTTCTTTGCAAAGGTTTTTGTGAATCAAAAAGCTGCCATCTAACTGGATAGTGTTACTTTTCTCATAGTTCTGTCGTCGTTCATATGTGAACTGGGGCAGTTGTTACAAATTGTGACTAATCTGATGAATTGTTTAAAAACTTTGTTGGATTTCGAGTTACGAAAGTCGGAAAGCGGAACTGTGACCTACACAAATTGTAAGAGGAATAACTCCTGTTCGGGAATCAAATGCCAAATTCCTGGTGTTGGTTATTCTTTTCTAACCTACAGAGGGGAGATCGCAATTGCACCACCCGTGTCTGGTCGGTATCCGTGTGCTGATCGCTTAATCTCGATCACTTATCTGACCTTGACTTGTACGGTGAAGGGTTTTCGAGGGCATTGATGCGAATAGATCCTGTAAAGTAAGAGAACAGTATTGGTGAATCTATTCAACCACTGCCCAAGCAAGTTTCTTCGAGGCGTTCGTTTTTTCTCGTGGGTGGTCGATTTTGTCTGATGCAGTGGGTGGCATTAAGTTTTTACTGACAGCGCGGCGGTGTTCAAACGATCAGGCTGGCGCCTTCTATTATGCTTATTTATGAGTCTTTTACATTAATGGGTTCAAACTAATTGAAGTGAAAGTTAGGGAACGAGAAAGGGCAACTGTTCAATTGATAAGAGTTGACAGGGAGATGGCAATTCGGTGTGCATAGACTAAACAATGGAGAACTTTGGGAAAAGGCTCCCAGAAATTTAATTAAGTGTACCAAACATGGAAAAATCCACTTACTTATCTGAGCGTTCGGTTTAAATGACCTTGTTGGAGAAACCTAAAGCAAGTAAACGACAAGAAAGAGAAACATAAAAACACTAAAGGAAACCGGTCGCTGGTCACGCATATGAACAACCGAAGTCCGGACACGCGTATCTAAAGAATTGTAGTCGGCTTCTTCTATAGGTTCTTCTGAAGGTACATTGATCAAATATGTCCGAGTTACTAACAGTGATTACTAAGTGGGCCTGTGACACCATAAAAGAAATTTCATTGTGTTACCTAAATTATTTAATTGTTTTTAAGTATCCAAATTGATGAATGGCTGATCAGGGACATCGACATTGTGGCATTCGAGTGATTAAAAACCAAAAATTCATCCGGTCTATGATCATGTGGTCTCGACGCTGTCCAAAAAAACTCGAGTACTACTTCTTTGACATGAGCGGGTTCGCTGGAGCCTCAATATTATTGTCAGTAGAGGAGCTCAAGGTAAATGATAAAGGTTCGGTGTTGACTAAACCAGTTTTGGGATGAGCCATGCATTCGATCAGAGCGGTATGACGTTTGACTGGATATTGAGTCTTATACAGCGGTCTGTGGAGGCCACCAACATACAAATCATTGGGTACTCTTGCCGCCCAATGAATTTAGTACAAATTGAACGGCTAAGGATAATGGGAGGCTTGGCTAGTTGCCAGTTTGGGGTCTGATCCCTGAATCATGCGTGGGATAGAGTGCCAGTCGGTCTTACCATCGCTCACTCAAATATTTTACTGGTAATGTACTTGTGCTGAAAGTCTATTGGGAACAGTTGGAGTAGAACGATTGCTCCCATTTTAAGTGCACGGGAAAAATTGTGTCCCCACATATGGCACCGAAGGTGCGTGTAACCCTCTGGTCTAACTACGTAGAGCCCTTTAGAACTGAGTCATACATCAGGAATGAGAGAACTTTGTTCTTGACTTAGTGGCTGCTTCAAGAGTGTGGAGGCAGCTCGTCGAATAGATTTCTTTATTCAAAGGCAAATCTTCTATTGAACTCTAGTCTACCTCAGAACTCTGATCAATCACCCATCGATGAACCCATCCGAGGGATTGGAGATGTAATAGAGAAATCAGGAAATAACATGAACTCGATTCTGATTGTGGTTGTTCCGTGGAAAACTGTTGGCAAATTATCACTCGATATCACAGTAATTTAATTGTTTACACCGGGGTACACCCACTTAATTGGAACATTCGATGAACTCTCGAATTCCAGCTTGAATAGTAACCATCAGCTAGAACTGAATATGGTAACATCTTTGATAATTCATTTTACACATCCCGTACTAGTAGGGAATATAGATTACTACGCTTTATTGCATTTCTGTGGCTCAGTTACCTGGTTTCGAGGGGAGTGGGATCACATGGCTGGCCATCAAAACACCTTTCATGTCAGCTTGCCCCGAAGAAAACCGATCATTTCGAAGATGAGGGCTGGTTTGCGTCAGTACTGAATTGTTATGACAATGACTCATACCAGTAAGAACAGTAACAACATTCTGTTTTCAACCTCTTTTTGTCCCGTCATTGATTCATGAATTTCATATTGGATCACCATCTCATCGAAGTACATGCACAATGTAGAGGCAAAGGGGAAGGCAAATGTAGGGGCAAGTCTAGGAGAATTTCCTGATGCAGGAGTCGAGAGTGAGTAAACTTGTCAGTCATGTGTTGCCGAGTCGAGTTCTTGAGGTAAACGAATGTTTTCGAACATAAGGATGACATCCAGTTCCAGTTATTGCAGTATTTCTTATAAAAGTATAAAAGTAACTACGAACAGGCGAACTTGGTCAGAAATAAGGTAGCCAACGTTCCGGAAAGGTCAGGCATAGGCGCTTATTACAGAAGGTCGCTCCCAGACTAACCTGAGTCATCTGATTTTTTCCGTCAGCCCTTGTTCCCAGACCGAAACTTTTTCTGCTGCTCTTCAGAACTCATTACATTTGCGGTCCCTCCCTCTCTGCTATAAATGAGACTTCCGGCTATTTGGTCCCCCTTTTCTTTCCGAAGAAATCACTCAACCGAAATGAGAACTCTGTCTCCGTTTAGATGTTCTACATAAGGAGAAAATGAGGTGACGGTCAATGAGGCGAGAAGTTTTTCAATGAAAAACCCTAGAAACTCATCAAGACGGGTAGTTGCCCTTTAGTCCATTGGCCCAATGTCTAATGTGTTTCTCTTAACGTCTACAGAAAAATATGGTGTTGAAAAGGATCACGAATAGGAACGAATATACTCTGAACGATCGAGACGAACAACTTTTTATGAGTTACCAGTTCAGCCGGAAAATCGCAAAAGCGCGACAAACCAAGACGCGTGACAGCGCCTCTGAACATCAGGGGTAGGATAATTGGGCTGCTTTCGTGAATCCCCTCTCCTAAGCTCACTGCTAGCTTTGCTGGAGTTCTTTAAAAAGAATCGAGACGTTCGATGTGCTTTTTAGTGAGGGTGACACTGTACTGGCTATGAGCAGTAACCGGAATGTAGTCTTTGGACAGAGGAATCTCTCGTCAATGATCACCTGCTGTCATCATGTATCATATTCTTGATTGAGTTGGCCTCTCTGTATTCGACCTCCTCCAACACTGCATCTCTCCGTTCCCACCGTCGCGCATCCACCCTGCCCCGTGTGGGCGTGGCCAGTCTGCTCGGCCAGTGCTGCGCGCCGCGCCCTCAAGCATGTGGTCGTCCACGATTCTCCTCTCACTATCCAGCGTTTTTGGTATTATCGGCTTGGCATTAGTACTTGCTGCTGCTCTTACTGATAACTGGACTGAATATCAGGTAAGTAATTATGGAACCTGTTTTGTCGTTCTTTGCTTTTTTCATACTCTTCATTCTTCTTTATTTTTCATGTCATCTCTGGTCAGTTAGTCATTGGTTTGCTATGTTTACATTCTTTGCAAGTTTCAATTCAATCCTGAAAAACCTTCTCACGGGCGTCCACTTGCTCAAACTGCACGATCATCGCTTTTGCCGACCGTTCCGTTTTTTCTGCTCTTTTTTCACCCCCAACTGGCACTTGTGTTCCATCCACTTTCCGTGGGTAGATGATGACTTCAGCCGACTATTGCTCCTGCTGCCCTACGTTTTTGTCCAATAGTACGGCCACCTATCCATATTTCGTCTTATCCCACGTTTACCGTATAATTATCCATGCCGCTGTACGGTTATGGTGTCAGGTGATGTTGCTGAGAACCTGCGAAAAGGACGGCGAACGAACAGTCGAAGAGAGAGAAGGGATAAGAGGGAGAGAAAAGTAGGCTATGGACGTCCACTTTTTTTCGACATACACGACATAATTCACTGAAGATGAAACATGTCGTTACCCATTCTAACGTGAGGTGGTGGGCTTTTTGTACGTCCCTTAATGGAAGATAATGGCGTGTTGTGCATGTTGTTGATCATGCCTGGTCCGGATTGTCCAAGAAGCCTCCGGCCAGTCGAGTCCACCCAGTGAGCACCAGCCGCTAACTCAGCCACCTTGTCTTAATTCGTCGGCAGTCGGCGGCCGATGGCAGCAGACCGTAGCCGGCTTGTTCTTCACAGGTCAGACTGGGCCATTGTTTTGTGGGTGGTCATCATCGTTGTGCTTGAAGAGTCACGTGGGGATTGTGCACACGGTAGTCTCGTCCCCCCACCTTTGCACACCTTGACAATACTCGCTTCGCTTCATCGATCGATTCGGCATTGACGACGACGACGACGACGACGACCTCGATCGATCAAATAAGGCGCGGCGGGATTGGACGCCGTTTTCTCCATTAAGGGGGGCAAAAGATGTTGTGTGTGGGTGTGAGACGAACGTATGCACATCGATGACAACGTGGGACAGGTTATGGACATGTAGGAATGTCATTCATGCTTGTTAAAATGTTTGTCTTCGTGCCCTGAATACGGTAGGTATATCGTGAACAGTTCTTTTGCGACGCCATAACGACCTTTGAAGCTAATTTCGTATTCAACACGTTCGATGCACTTCACGAGAAAACCTCAAGCTCAACCCAGGCTGAACCCTTCGTAACCAGACCGGATCTATTTTGTGCTTGTACAGCTGCACTATACTTTTTTGTACGTACAGCTGTAGCACAAGCTGTTAGACACAACATGGACACAAACGGCCATCCCTGTCCACCCTTACTTTTTGAAGCTACTGAACTATTTGAATCAAAAAAATGTTCGTAGTAATTTTTTTTTAGTTTTCTCGTATTGTAGGTGAATCGTCGAGAAATAATCAACGCATTCAATCGGGAACCGGAATTGAACGTACGTCTGAAGGACGCGTTCGTTCGTAACGTCAACTATTTTTCGCGAAACTACGGGCTATTCCAGATCTGCTTTCCGGATTCCGTACCATCCGGTTAGTTAGCGATCCGTCATTCGGTTCTTATACGGTTCTCACACGTTTTTCTACATTTACACAACGTTTCTTTGATGTATTTCGTTTTATTTGCATTCTCGCCGCAACACTAAACGGCGAGTGCGTGGGATAGGGATTGAGGCTGAGGTTGAACTGGCTAGAGATCGGGCTGTGGGGAGTGTGTGTGTGTGTGGGTAAGGATGATAGTGATGACCACCCGAGCGGGCTGCTCTCAACGACCTGCTGCTTGTTCAGATATCGGCAGCTTCTCCAAATATGGCTCACCGTGTATCGACAACACTGATTATTTCCCTGTTGAAGCCGTTCAGGAAAATTATTCCTCTCAACAAACTCAGCGACTCTATTTTATGAGAGCTAACGTTGCTACTTATGTTCTTGGTAAGTAATTCTTTCAATACATTACTGTTCATGTTGATAGTAAAAGTTATGAATGGTTTACTACAGCGAATTGTCTTACTTTTGCACCGGTCACGCTTTTGATTGTCCGTCTTCGTTCTTTGTCCTTCGAGAGTATCATGATTAGTGGTGTTCTGATTTCTTTTCCTTTTGAACCTTTTGAGAAAATGGTACCCGCCGATTTGAAAAGAAACTTCTTAATTTTCCCATTTAAACCCCTAGAGTTTCGCAGAACAAAAAAGTACTGTCACTACCTAATTTGAGCCTCGACTTCGAACAGGAAAAGATCTTCCCGAGGGATGTGATGGTCGTAGCCACTGCAAAGTAGTTTAGGAAGAATGGTCAGGAACTACGTGGTCAGGGTGAAAGGATAAAACGTAGGCGTTGATCAATCAGTACCGTCTGGGGGATGTGCCCCGCATCTCATTTCCATTCGGAATCGTACTGGCGCATTGATTGCTTGGGTGACCTATACAATGACTTGTGGTGGTCAACCAATGTACAAGTCACTGTTTTTATCCTCCCAGACTAGTCTGTAACCAATTAAACGACCCCGGGGGGATGGAAGGCTTGGTTGGCCTAGGCGGATATCGATCCGGGATTCGAACCCCTGACCATGCTTGTGTAAATAAATTGTTAAGAAATAATTTTTTACGGCTCAACTGGTCAGTCCCCTATACTGTCTGTACTACCGTATTACTCCCATTACATAATCCTTGAACTATCACACCCAATTAGTCGGTGTACTGTGAAAACATATAGAGGTCACTGCCCCAGAGCCAGGATTTGCTTGTTCAGGGTAGCCAGCCGTAATTTAAACATATGTTTACTATTGATCTGAACACATCGTTTTTAAGGTCTCATGGTGTGGGAAGGTAGAAATCAGTGTAGGTAAAGGTACATCTGTGATCATAATAGATGGGTGTTAAGGTTTTTGCTTGACAATTTCTCTTTCTGAGGGGCTGGGCGGGTTTTCTGAGAAGTTGGGTTGGGTAAAAGAGATTTTGGTTCAACCTTGAAGGGCCGAAACCATCAAGTAAGGAAGGTGCTGGACTGTGGTTCATCATAGGGCCATTACTCACGACACTCTTGCGTAACAAACGTTTGAATGGCTCCCTTGTCTTATAATTATAGGCCAAATGGACTAGAATAATGCACCCTTTATAACCCATGGAGACCCTTTTGAAAGTAATTTTTGAGGCATTACAGTCGATAGTTATGAAAAAACGCCCGCGTCAAGTAGGAGGTCGGCCGTACTCGTTGTAAACATGATAATTTTTATGCAATAATGATTTTACTTTCCACTCTGCTTTTGTTGATAGTGGGAGGAATGTAAAGAGTAAATAGTAAGTAATCGAAGCAGTTACGTATGACCGTTTATTTTGCAGGTCTTGGCGTTGTCGTAGTGTGTCTGGCGATAGCTGGTATCGGATGTGCCCGACAATCTCGCAAAGCATTCATGTTTGCTGGTGTTGGCCTCCTTCTAACAGGTAGATTACTGTAGTTTATTTATTCTCTGCATTTACTTAACCTTTTTGCTGTGTTTACGATGAAACCGGAAACGGCAGTTCATCATGTTTACGATGTTTCAATTTTCACTTAAATGATGGCTTCGTTCCTGATGAATAGCTTTTTTTTGAAGAAGTATGGGTTTCAGCTTGGTGACATTAAAGGCTGGTATGACCCTTCTAATCGGTCCAAATAAGGAATCCCTGCGCTTGAAATTGCCCTACAAGGCCATATCCCATGAAGTAGGAAAAACATGCAAAATTCAACAGGGTTATCCAAATATTTCTCTCGCTTCCCTACTCTTGTGGACAGGTCGTGCGTAGTAAAGTAACAAATCTTTTTCGTCGTTCGAATTCGTTCGTCCCGGGCAAGTTCCACTGGAAAGGTTGTGTTTTGGCTGAAAATCAAAAACGGTCAAGAAGATGACCAGCAATCGATCATTTTTTGTTGTTTTGACATTATTCATTGGATGAGCTAATATCCGTAAATTCTCGAATAATTTTAACTTCAAGTGGGCCCCACTTGACTTTTTTGACTTTTTAGAGGCTTAAATAGTCAAAGAACAAGGTTCGGAGGCGAGAGGCTGCTTGTTTTGAGAGTTTAAAGTTTTCAAGTGTCTTTACGTACGTGCGTACACACCAATGAACTTTCGAAAGGTATTTTGCGACGCTTTTGACGTGAACAGGTGCGAAACACGGGGCCGTACGGGGGGCCGTGCGACGATTTAGTCCTCCGTGCAAAGTCCTCTTCAAAAAGTGACTTCCTTTTTTCCGTATCTCTAGTGTACCCAAGTGCACTAAGCGGGTCAAGCAGCCAACAGCGGCGGGGGTTTGGGACTTGTACTCAACAATTTTCAGTACAAAGTCTACTTTTTGAGGTCTGTACTATGTCCAGAGCCTGTATTTTTCGAACACGAACTACTTCTGTAAAAAGTTGAAATGCCATTATGATGTTATGTTCAAAATATCGTGCATAGTATGCTAGGAGAGCCATTTACAATGTTAAATTTTCGTTTTTTTTACCCTCTGACGTCATTTTCGAATTCTTTACGTTATCGTTTCAGTTCTCTTATTTGCTGTTTCAATGGCGTGTTGGCATTATGTGAATTATCTCGAGCGAGCCGTTCTAGAAATGTCACCATTCTACAAGTCATGGGAACCGGTACGTGAAAGCTGCTTCGATACGTTACTCTGTTATTGAACCATCCCGTTATCCGTGGCGGACTAGCTAGTTGTGCTAAGGCGAGCATACTTCGTCACAGATTGCGGAAGGATTAGGACGTTTTATCGTCAGGCATCTATTGTTTTGGCGCTTTTCCAGCTCGACCGTCATCTAGATAACGGTTTATTTCATATGTGGGCTGAGGCGAACAGGAGAAAATTAAGGGCTTCGAGGGGCGATAACTGCCCAGATAGAAAAGGAACCGAGGGACTTGCGTGGACGTACAAAGAAATGCTATGGCCGCATTTGCGTGATGAATACGCGAAGACGACGATGAAGGAAAAGAAACCGGTCTGATTCTCCCTCAGAGAGAGAGAGGGAGGAGGCTGCACGATGAGGCGACGATCAGCGAATGTTGAGCTACGAGAGGTTGGCGATCAAGTGATGCCCACTCAAGAACGTGGCTAGACTGAACTCTCGATGGAAAAAAACAAGGAAGTCACTCTCGAAATCGTCGACCTTCGCCGAAATTTTCTGTTTTGTTGTTGGGCACAGCATCACTTCCACCTTTTCGATTCCGTTATTGTTTATCCTGCCGAAACTCGGCTTTCTGGGAACGAAATGAACACGCGGTCAGCTAACTTGTGTGGAGAGGACCGCTAGAAATTTCCGGGTATTTGGAAGTACAAAGGGCTTTACTGAGGCCAAAATCCCGTCGACGCTCGTGAACGGACGACTGGACGTGTCAAGGAATCGATGGTGAAGGGCGATGGACACTCCTTGCGTTATGTAATGACCGCTGGACCAGTGTAGTAAGCGACTGGATCCCACAGGGCGTCAAACGAACGAAGAGACGGTTGAGGACGTTTTATTCAAGTTTCTTAGTGAGAGCTTTAAGCTGAAGGATTGGCACTCATGATACACTCGAACAAGAAGAGTCCACCGGCTGATGCGATTCCACGATAGGCATGAATGAAGGATTACTACTAGCTTCCCCTCTAATGGACAATAATCAGTGGATAGAAAGAAATTACAGGTGGCCAATTTGGCTTCTGTCGCTTGAAACTTTATCATATTCACAGATCGAAACCTGTTTCAATGTGAGTTATTGCATGTAAACTCAATGAAAACCCGCTGGAACTGGAGATTAAGAACCTGTACATTGGAATTCATAAGGACCGTCACTGGAACGGAACCGTTGCGTTCATAGACTGGTGAAGTCTGTCGCAACAGTCTGACTTAATCCTATTAGATGAAATACGGGTTATCCCTGGTTCCTATAATCCCCTATCTGGGGCTATAGCGATTCAAATGCCAATGATTTCTGCAACTTTACCTACTGCATCCTTCGAAGGCTTTCAAAAAAATGAGCTTTTTGTCGTAGCTGTACTTGGAACGGTTCCATGCTCGTTGGGGCTATTTCTTTCTTGCTGGGTTTCACCCTCCTTTTGGGTAGCCCAATTTGGTCCTAGAAATTGGATGGGTGTTACAAAGTAGTAACACATTTTTGAGCCTTTGGCTCTTTTCCTCTTTTTGTGAAGGGTTCAGAAATAGGTTCAAAAATGAGGCAAAGTTATTTTAGTATGAAAAGCTGAGTGGTTTTAATCAGTTCTCTTTCTTTCCGCCCATGCTCATTGCTGATATGTTGTAGTTCTTGGCCAGAGAAAGTTTGAAATTTCATCGGAGATTAGTGACGTAAAACACTGCCGTGCCTTACCAGTAATTACTGTTCGCACTCGGTTGTGTCTGATTAAGTTGACGGACCACTTACTCGTACCCATTCATTTGGTAAAGCATAATTGGAGGACCGTCAAACGGTATCTCAGAAAGGTGGCGGCTAATTGAGGTCGTCGACGAACGTACTCAAGGTCAAGTTTTCGGAGACAATGATTTTCTATGAAAGGCGACTTCGTGGAGAACGGCTGGAATTCGAAACAGCATGTCCCTCTGATTCATGTGAAGTACTTTGAACAACCATGTACCACTTAACGGGGATGAGTTTGTCTACATAAATCGTACCTTACTTTGAAATTTTACTAGAAACAGTAATTTTTTACTTGTTTCGGTGTTCATGCCCATTTCAGATCCTCAAGTCAACAACCCGCTTCAATTTCGGCTGGTCTCTGGTTGTTGCATGGGTCGGAATACTGTTCATCCTATTCGCCTCAGTATTTTTCATCTGTTCAGCTAGTCGATTAAAGGTGAGTATTGTTTAAGTAACTGTGTAATGATACCAACTTTTTACCGTTTACTGCTATAGTTCTTACTGGTAATACTCTTCGCGCCATTTGTCATTGATTCCTAGATGACCATGAACTGCAATAATTTTTTTTCACCCAGTGCGGCCCACTTTTCTATTGCACCCCAAAATTGCCTCAAATCAAAGTCAGGGGAAGATCGGTGGCGTCTGTGAGAGGCAACACGGGTAATGGCGTGCGAAAAATACGGGGTTGCGTGATTTGGTATATGGGCCAAGCCTAGTCGGAGGGATACCTGGAGATATTCGACATTGTCGGTCGGATATGATGTCGTAGGAGAGGAAGGAACGCTACTTGGCCTTTACAATGGAATGCGCTCTGTGACCCCCGCAATTGTGATGCGATGCTATCGTGGCTTCCTTGACCCCGACTCGTTACTGTCTCATTCCTGGTCGATAGTCGCGCCTATCTCTCATGCTCAGCTCTCCCTCTACCGCTCAGATGGTGGTGACGATGAAGAGAATAATGCGTTTACGGGCTACTCCAAGAATTTGCCCCCATCGCTACATTCACACCCATTCAACAACGTCGCAATACGTTGCCATGAACGTCATCTGAACTGATCCCACAGAAGCGCCATTGATGGCGTGGTTTACGAGCCATGGCGCACAACTGGTTGTTTAGGTGATTCCATGATGGTCGCATCGAACTGCCTGCAACCGTCTGCAGTTAGCCCTGGCGCCAAACGTTCCCGTTACCGAAGGCATGCGATTTTTTTCAATGTCGTAATGCTCTACGACAGACAGAGAGACTGACTGACTGACTGACTGACTGACGGAATATCTGGTTTATTGTCGCCGCGGCAATTGTGATCGTTATCGAGCCGCAAGGCCTCGAAGCCTGTCGCCAGCGTTCTACCTCAATTCGACTTGTTATTAGAAGAACCTTCTCCGCTTAGGTGGTTCCGTGCCGTATTCTTAACTCGTTGGGATCGCAAAACTAGACTCTGAACTATGAAACACAGGGCTGTGCCATCTGCCTTTCGCTGGGTATAGGTTAAGTTCTGTTTACAAAGCTTTGTGTACAACGGAACACCACGTCTTCTCTGGCTGGCATGTTCATTTGCTGTTACCTTGAGATCTCAGATCTGAGAGGCTCTTTTTGTGGTGAAGTGAACGAGTTTCAATGGCACATGGGAACACGAATCTATACCCCCAACGTTGTTTTGCTGCTGAGCGATACTTCCTTATGAGGATCAATTATTCGCATTGGATTTTCGTTTAGGGACCGAAAGGTACATGCTCGTCCACTTTCTGAGCGGTATGATCATCAAAGGCTACGGGTGCGACAAACTGGAAACCTAGGTGGAAGTCATTCAATCAGAGTTCCAAGTGGCGGACAGTTTTTGAACGTACTTCATTAAAGAGATACTTTTCGAACCCTTCCATGCCCTTATACTAGTGTGAAGTTGTATTACAAAATACGGACGGAATTGGTGTACTGACAAGTGGCGCACTGTAACACAGCACGGTCATGGGTTCGGATCCTAGATCGGCATCCGCTTGAACCAACCAAGCTTTCTAACCCTTCGTGGTCGATTGATTGGTACCAGACTCGTCTGGGAGGGTAAAAGCACTTGTTTGCACTTGATGTTGTTAACTACTATTTTATCGCCGCAGTGCGCGATGCGAAAGTCTCACAAGGTTGGCGATTTGTGGACAAAACTTCAGTCTTGGACGGGACGAACCTGTACTTGTGCTTTCCGGCCTTAAGATCAAGGTTTCAAGTCAAATATGTATGAAAGCACCGTAGCATCGCCTTTACGCATAGCCAATTGGCAAAGTGCCAGGTGCACATCGAAACACGTTTGGAACTACCCCGTACGTGCACATACCTGTAGATTCATTCATCAACGCAAAGACGGCGAATCGATCGCGTTACAATAATTACTGCTTACTATTGTGCTCTTCAGCTTGGATTTTATGATTGCACTTTGATCCCCTCGTGTTTGTCACTGTGGGAAAATTTCTGTCTGGGAATAGCGATGGACAATTTCATTCAACTTCTGGAACCTACGGCCCTCGTTCCATTTTCTACATTGTTTGGACGGCTCGATGCCATGAGGGCTATGAGGATAACTTGGTGTAGAAGCTGTCGCGACAACGGCTAGTTTATCCGTCTAGGAACAAGCTTCACACTTCGCGTCTCACTTACCAGCATATTAAGCCTACATATACGGCAGAGGCATTCCAGCTGTGGAACGGTCGCACGATCTGAATAGATGCCGATGTTTGATAAGAGCTTAGAATGGGTATTACGTTCATATTGAGTGCCGATCTTATGTTTGACGTCGCCTTTGGAGCATCGAACGCAAAATGACGAGGTTTTCGAGTGGTTGGGTGTGTGGGGATTGAGGGAGAGTGAGATAGGAACGGGTGATGGTGGTGGCGTTGTGATCGAACGTCATTCAACCGTTACGAATGCAAACATGGTGACCGATGTTATATTTACCTACACGTGATGCCTGTACATGGAGAATAGCCCATGTGACTGCACACTATATGGGCCTCACGACTGCCTGAATGTCCCCACAGCATCTGGCTGCCAAGCGTAGCGCTAAATTTTCGCTATAGCGGGCTGACCCTTCAAATCGTCTCTTATATGTTGTCCAAAAACCAAAACAAGTCCCTGGGCCTGGGTGCCGGAGAGCTGTCGTAGTATTCTAGCGAGACCCTACTTCCTTGTACAACTCGTATACTTCGCCAAAGTTCTTGTACCCATATGCTCCCACCATGGCAACTCTTCGATATAACAGCTAATGCGATAAGACAAGTGGGAACAGCTGGCTACTGTCATTCGTTTAAACTTCCAATATCTAAAGTACGCGGGTAACGGAACTTCTCCCCTATCGCGGCATTCTCCCTTGCGGCATGCGGCAAATGTCACTGCAAGTACCGTACTCACCCCGCCTCCCGAAAATCGATAGGACGCGATATTTTTCCTTGACTGGCTTGCTTTTTCATTGGATTTTATCGTTTCTTCTTCTGTTTCTTTTTAGTTTTCATGTTTATTAGACTTGATTAATTNAAATGACTCCCCTTATATAAACGACGATCAATACCGCATTGAAATCGAAGGGAGCGACCAGCCAATTCAAATGATTAAAGGACTCCCTACATCACAAATTGCGCGCCCCAATCTTTCATCGCAATCCTGCGATAGGCGGCGGGTGCGGCGTGTGCGACGCCGTGCTAGGGGAGAAGTTCCCTGATCCAAAGTACGCTCATGCAGCAACTGCGCATATGTCTCGTCGTACGCATCGCAACCGCACGCGACCGAGACTGGATTGGGGTATCTCTCCTGTACTCTTTGTTTGAGTCGGCGGAATCCAGGTGTAAAAGCAAAGGCAAATTCGATGGAATTGCATCCAGCTTTTAAACTAACATGGTCAAATAATATGACCCTTTTACCACCTACAAATTCCGTAATAGTAATGTCTAAACTGTAGCGATCTGCATGGCATTCTGACTCGGCGTAGCGGTACTTTTGGTCACCATCTCATAGGATTTGTATTTGTAGGGAAGATGTGCTGAGCATTTAATCTGAGCGATTGTGCTACCGACTGCTTAACCGCATTAATACGGTAACGTATTTTTTATACGGGACCCGTAGTGCTCAGACGCTCAGATGAAATAGCGTTAACGAAGAGTAATCGAATATAAAACCTATTAAATGGGGCCAGTTTCAGTTCGTCAGCAGAAATATATGTCTTGACATTTAAATGCGGTGTTGAGATGCGAATAATAGTGTTTATCCTTAATTCATTCCAGAAAGAGGAAGAAAAAGCACTGTCAGCGAAGCACGGCGCATACATGATGAATAATTATTATGATAAGGGAGCTATGGTACCGTATGGTTACAATACTTATGCTGGTAAGTTATTATATATTCCTCATCACTTAGATCAATCAAATTGTCGTGAATTCAGGTTACGGTAACTATCCATACGGCTACGGCGGTCAGTACAATAACGGATACTACGGCTACATGACGTACGGACGCTAAATGTATTGCTGCGATCCGGAGCGAGATCAGCTCGATGCAGTTCACGAAGTTGATAGCTCGAAGCAGCGGCTGTGAGCTGCATCTCGTATGCCGAGCTCTTGTGTGACTCCACTGAGCATCACATTTCAGCTGATCTTTCATGAGATCCCATACATCAACGTGTTCCCCACTTATCATCATCATGTGTCATGTTTTTTTTTTCTATTTAGTGAATTTGTTCAGAACAGATCATCATCACTCCCTCATTCACATGCGCTTTCGCTAAACGCGAAATGTCAGCGTTTTTTCGACCAAACAATTTGTTATCGATTAGCGTGTAGATCACAGTTCCACGTTCCGTGCACGTACACGTGCATATTACGTGCTCTTTCTCTCTGGTGGTGTTCTTGCCTTTATATTGTCGTCATGCCTTCCCGTTTAAAGATATCCATGTCCAGGCAATGTTCATCGATCCTTTTCACTGCCTTCGCCTGTTTGTTTACCCTATTCTCCTCGTCGTTTTTTTCCTTCATCCCACAAACAAATAGGTTCTATGAGCATTGGAACGGTATGTCTCTGTACAGTTCTTTATGATTGAATGACCGCTCAATGTACTCATTAGCACGACCGTATTGGTGATATTTCAGAGAGTAATTTCAGTTCTATTAAATATTGTTTTCAATTTATGAGATTGTTTAGGGGCACAATGAATTACGTAAACTCTCAATATACAATTCACTACCTATTTCTTGTTTGCATTTCTTTTTACTCGTTGATCACGATCATCACTATAATACATATTATCGCTAGTTGGCGTTTTTTGAGATCAATCGATTACGGATGAGAATAAAGTTTTTCATAAGTTAATGCAATTTGATGGAATTACATATGAAGTACCAATTGAATGTTCGTTGCAGAGGCAATCGGCCCAACTCGGTTTCGGTGAACTGGTCTTGTTATAAGCTTCAAGACAGGGCTAAAAAGTTTTTAAACCAAACGAAGTATAGCCTCAAGAGGGATGAATCATTTTTCTGATTTAGTTTTCATTAAATGAACTCTGAGGTAACATTCGGTCTAAAAGCCTTGCTGTGCAGTTGTAAATATTAGAAAAATCGAGAAACCTATTAGGTTGTTAGTCAATTCTTCTATGCCATACAGGTTTTTAATGGTGGAATCTTTA